AGTTTTTTTTTATTAATAAATTCTGAAGCTTTCAGACATCTCTAATAATAATAATAATAATAATATTGTAATGGCTTTTTTTATAACTGTTTTATGCACTCCCATAGAAAGGTAGAGATTCCTGAAAGCTAGATATTTCATTAATAAAAATTATAATAAACTCATCTCCAAAAACCTGTTTTATTATTTAATTTATATTAAGGAGATTCAAATCATTTTTTTTTGTGAAAAAAGTTCTTCATATTATCATGATAGATTCTCATATATCGTCCACAGGTCAGACGGAGAATTAGAGAATAAATTCTGAAGATAAGAAAAATTGAAGCAGATTGGGATAACTGCATGAAACGATTTTGCATATTTGCATATTTTCAAATAACACGCAACTAAATGCTGCTTAGAGAAAAGTTCAATATCTTTATTAATCGTAAAGATGGAGGCTGCCTGGCCGGCATTCATAGTTCTTCAAATTAAAGATACTTCGGCCAGTAAATCTTCCTTATATGTAAAAAAGATTTACTGGCCGAAGTTTCTTTAATTTGAAGAATCTTAATTAATGGTAAAACCAAACGTTAATTCTTTATTTTGGGAATTCAGTCGGACAATATCCGCTAAGTGAAGAATGGGTTGCAATAAAGTCAAAGTGGAGATTGCAAAGAGACACACACAAGATTCAGGAACAAGACCCTGCAAGGAGTTCCCTGAAGAGTCCGAGGTTCAGCACAAAGGAACGAAAGACGTGGAGTCAGCGTCAGAGGGGTCTATCAAATAACCTTCATATACACTGGTGTCCAAAAAATAAGAAACTTTTGTTTTTTAATGATATGTTTTAAAATATACAACGCTAAAAGCTAAATATTAATTTAATTAGGTATTTTAAGTCGTAGAATTTAGTTATCGCAACCATTCGATTTGGTAAAATTGATAATATGCAAATTTTTGCTTGTCTTTATAAGTGTGCTATTTGGCGTGTCGTTTACCCCATCTAAGAATTGTCCAATTATAATTTTATTTAATCCGTAGTTAATTATGAGTTTACGAAAAATTTAGCAGATGATTTAAAATGGAGAGCTGTTGGAAGAATGGAGGCAGGGCAAGCACAAGTTGAAGTAGCAAAATGGCTAAATGTGAATAAATCTGTGGTCAGCAAAATATGGAAACAGTTCATTGAGACAGGAACCATCAAGAGAAAAGAAGGTTCTGGTAGAAAAAGAAAAACAGCTACCTCTGAAGACCGTTATCTGGTCGTAACTGCCAAGCGCCATAGGGAGATGACAGCTATTCAACTCTCTTATGAACTCTCAAGTGCTACTGGAACGAGAATTTCAAGACAAACTGTTTACCGAAGGCTTCACGAAGGTGCTCTTTATGCAAGACGGCCAATGGACTGTATCCCTTTAACCTCTGCTCACAGGAGAGCCCGCTTGAATTGGTGCTTGGAACATCACGCCTGGACTCATGATCAATGGGCCAATGTTCTCTTCAGTGACGAGTCAAGATTTAGTTTAAACACAGATTCTCGACGAGATTTCATCTGGAGGGAGCCTGGAACCCGCTATCATCCCAGTAACATCAGGGAAATAGACAGTTTTAGAGGGGGCAGTCTCTTAGTCTGGGCTGGCATCAGTTCTAGCAGACGCACACCCCTCCACATTTTTTCTGGGGGCACTTTAACTGCCCAAAGGTACAGGGACGAGATCCTTGAGCCCTATCTAAAACCTTATAGAGATCAAATTGGTCACAATTTAATTTTTATGGACGATAATGCTCGTCCGCATAGGGCTAGGATAGTCAATGAATATCTCTAGAGTGAGAATATTCGAAGGATGGATTGGCCAGCCAGATCTCCGGACCTGAATCCAATAGAGCATGTGTGGGATGCTCTAGCGAGGCGTATTGGAGCTCGTCACCCCTCTCCCAGAACCCTCGTTGAGCTAAGAACTGCTCTATTGGAGGAGTGGAGTTTACTACCCCTGGACCTCCTCCAAAGCCTGGCAAACAGTATGAGGGCTCGTTGTGAGACCTTGGTAGCTGTTAGAGGTGATCATACTCCCTATTGATATCTTATTTCTTTAGGATCTGGAACCTTAGCTTTGGGTATGTTGGTAATAATTTGCATATTTCATAATTTCAAATATTTTTTTGTATTTTCATATAGCTAGTCAAATTCTCCATAGTTTAAACTATTTGTATACTAAATTTTATATATTTTTAATAAATTAGCTTTTGAGAAATTTCAATAATGGTTAATTTTCTTATTTTTTGGACACCAGTGTATATATATATTTGAAAATAGAGCAATCCATACTTAATTCATTAGATAATAAATCCAATATATGCCTTTTATTATCTAATATATATATATATATTATAGAAAAATTATTTTATTTCAAAATTATAATTTCATAGATTAAACTATTCTGTTAAATCGACCGCCAGAGGTCGCGCTTTCCCGTTGTATAAACATATTGTTGTTGTTTCCAGTTGGCCGCTCAAACCTTTTATAAATTATGTAAATAATCTTTTGTTTTCTTTACTATTAAGCCTTAAATCAGGAAATACCTTTCTCAAATTATGTTTAGATATTTTTAATAAGCAAATTAAAGCAATATTGATCTAAAGATTTTGTTATTTCACCACGACTGCAATCCCAATCATGAATTTCAGTCCTTGAAAACCTCAGCAAATTCAATTCTTTATATCAAATTCATCATTATAATAATATGTCATAATATATGCTTTTCCAGGAATAATAAAGTAAACCTACAGTCAACGAGAGAGAGACGTCGATAGAACGCAGCTAAAGTACGGTCATCTGGGCCACTGGCCACATTCCAAGGGGCGACCGCAGGGCCTTTCTTGGAACCTCAGGTCTATTTTTGGATAGTCGGTGTGTGGGGTAGGACACAAAACGGCCGGCCGCCTGGTCGCGCTCCCGTCTCTCTCGCTGGTTGCCTGGGTTATTCCTCTACCAACTCGTCGTGTGATTATTTCTCCTCTCACCACATTATTATCATTATATTGCCACACTGAAAGTCGACAGGATCATATCACAGAAGAGTCGACAGGATTCTACAAGAGCTACCAGGACATCATCTTATTACATAATATATATATATATTATGAATTTATATTCTTCCGTAAGGACGGAATGGACCATTGAGTTCTCAGCATTTAACGACTTAGTGTGAAAAGGCAAGATATTGGGTCAGACAACGTGGTCTAAATAAACCTAACTTATTTCTATTTTCAACCTTCTCTCTTTAAACTTTCTCAGAGATACCCTCATGGACAAACTGAAAGGAAGTTTCATATTTTGATGTCGCCGGTCGTCTATATTTCTGATGTTGTTGTTGTTGAAGGAGACAGAGTCGATTTTGTTCAAACTTGTTTATCTCGTGTATCTTCAATAAAGGTCACTGTGTATCAAATATCTTTTAGAGTTATTGTCTGAATCCCGATTTATATGTTAAAAGGTACAATTTCCATATGTTTTCTTCATAAGTGTATTTTTGACGTATAGAATTTTCATTTTGTTATTCCCATTTTGTATATTTATTGTCATTTGAACCTCTTCATATTGTATTTTACTTATATGTCTTTAACAATTTATATGTGACATAGAAGAAATGGAGGAAGTAAAATATAGGGATTTATATTGAATATGATAGACCATCACATCTTATTTAAATAACTATATAATGGCAAACAACGAGGAAAATTTTACTGTGAACATATAATTTTAATATTAATAATCTTTGAGAGAGAACAATAACACACAAATATTCTGTCCAACAATTTATAAAATATTAAAAGAATATATTAAAATTAATATCTGGTGAACATATTTTAAAGAAAGATTTGCTTTTCACATTTTACCATTTCTATTGGTCTCATTTTTCAATATTAAAATCTAATTTGTGGTAAAAATTAAATTTCGTAAAAGCCTCGAGGCTTCGAGAAAAATTGCAATAAAATGAAAAGTTGTACGAGCTCAGGAGGTATATAGGGATATATGAAATTGGTCATAATCATCTCACATATTAGATTCGAAGCTATCTGTCTTATACTTTAGCTCGATGTTTGTCAATGAAAGCCTTTCTCATGAAATTTACTGGTTGTCACTTGATAAAGATATTAAAAATCACGTATATATTATAAAATATGAGATTTAATGTTGATTTTTGATTATTTTGAGGATTATTTTATGGTAATGCAGTCGTGGTTAAAAATCTTGAAAGTATAATAAAAACAGTAATGATCAAAAATAGTTTTAATTGCGCTAAATGAATATATTAAAAAACACAATTTGATAAATTGGTAAAAGTACTGCCTGGCTTAAGGCCTAAGAATTAAAAAAATGAAAAACTTATTTACATAATGTACAAAAGATTTGAGCCGGCCATCGTGAAACAACAACAATGAGTTTTTATAGGGGAAGCGTGACCTCTGGCGGTCGATTTAACAGAGTATTTGAATATGAAATATAATTTTAAATAAAATATAATATTTTAATATAACATATATATAACATAAAATTACGGGAGAATGATATTCATGTACCAAAAGGGGAATCTCTTCCTTTAATTATTCATCAGAACGTTGCACTTGTTCATCACCCTATTAAATAGGAATATATGAGATTGGTAATAATTATCTCACATGTTAGATTTGTAGCTACCTGTCCTATACTTTAGCTCAATGTTATGGCGTTCCTTTCACTGAAACCCTTTCTCATGAAATTTACTGGTTGTCAATTGATAAATCTCTATATATATATAAAAGTCAATTTCTGTCTGTCTGTCTGTTTCGCGATAAACTCAAAAACTACTGAACCAATTGGTACCAAATTTTGCATGTCGCTTTTTATAAACCTGAGGAAAATTTTCGGCATTTTGATTAGTATTTTTGGCTATTTCTTTTTTTCATTTCAAGAACTTTTTTTTACGCGGACTAATCCGGAATGGAATGAATACCTAAATATGGCCATTTTTTTTAAAGCATCGGTGGTTCAGTGGTAGAATGCTCGCCTGCCACGCGGCTGGCCAGGGTTCGATTCCCGGCCGATGCATTTTTTAAAACAATTTTTAAAACTCATTTATATTATATCTTCTATATATATAAAAATGAATGTTTGTATGTTTGTTTGTTTGTTTGTTTTGGTTTGTATGTCCGGTATACAAATTCGCAGTAGTTCACTAATTCAAACCAAAATTTCCATACATAGGTAAAAAAATACGGGGAAGACGATAGGCTATTTTAAAAAATATATAAATCAATTATTAAAACTATATTTATTAGTCAGAAAATGCTGATGACGATATTGCTATATCATGTAAGATTATCAGATACAAAATTATATCGGGAAAAATTCCAAAAAGCATAGACCACGGGTGAAACCAGCTCATTATTTTGTACGCAGGAACAAAATTCTAACAGAAAAACATTCATTCGAGCAGAAAAACAAAAGCCAGATCATCTTTCTATAAAAATATCGCTTCTCAGACACAAAGTTTGGAGCGGGACGTTTCACAAGAGTGACATCCACGCCGCCAATTTATAATTGTAACGAATAGTATTTAAATAAAAACATTTAATCGGGTAAAACCCGGGCGTTGCCCGGGTCATTCGGCTAGTCTTCTATATATATGAAAATCAATGTTTGTATGTTTGTTTGTTTGTATGTCCGGTATACAAATTCGCAGTAGTTCACTAATTCAGACCAAAATTTCTATACATATGTAAAAGTTACGGGGAAGACGATAGATAGGCTATTTTAAAATATATATAAATCAATTATTAAAACTATATATTCAAATTATTCTACTTAGCTCACGAACAGCGCCCTCTAACAAAAATTATATTAAATTATGCTGATGCAAACAAATAGATAATGCTAATAACAAACAATTATTAAAACAAATCTTATCTAAATATATATCACTCGGGTAGATATGCACACGGGTCAATCCCGGGTCACCCGTCTAGTATATTATAAAATCACGTATATATCTATATAACATAAAGTTACGGAAAGATGATATTCATTTACCAAAAGAGGCACCTCTCCCTTTAATTATGCACCATAACGTTGTTCATCACCCAAGTATTACTATAAGTATACTAATAATTTACTACTGATGAGAGAGATTGAGTCACAACGCCAGTTTTGGGAAATTCAGACAAACATCCTGATGTTTTGGCCCATTCTTTATTATCACTAGTAAGGTTTTCTTTACTAGGGTGATGAATATGGGCATCGTTTTTATGCATATTTAAAGAGATAAGGTGAATCTTATGGTACGTGAATATAATTCTCATGCAACTTGGTGTTGTAATATTTATACTGAAATTCGGCCCTTGTCACTTCACCAGGTGTTTAAACCTGTTTGGTAAATTCGACCGATAATTATCGGTATATATTATAATATGATCCTCTCGTAGGATGTTATGAAATCCAAGCCGTCCCTATACTGATGAGGGACATAGCCCGAAACCGTGCTATACAGCTTTTTGGAATTTTGTCTGAATTTTCGTAAACTGGTGTTGTGGCTCATTCTTTATGATCACTAGTAAAGTTTATAACTAGGGCGATGAACAAATGCAACATTTTCATGTCTAATTATATATGCATATGCATATATATAGAGCGTGTGTGTGTGCAGCGCTTTTTAATAACATATCTTTACAAATTCATGTTACAGCCTTCATCAACTTAAAAAAGAAAGGTTTATTGTCACTGGCGTTTAAACGACTCACTGTCACTTTTCAATAAATGTGGAAAACCTATTGTTGAAGTATTGTCTATTGCCGATCTATTCTCCAGTTCATATATATATATACATCAGGAAAAACCTCCAGTGGTGCAAAAAATATATGTAAAATAAAAATATATAAAAAATTTGAAATACATTCAGGTTCGTTATAAAGGAAGGTTTGCTATATCCACGGTTTGTTTTAGCGAGGTTTTACTGTATATGAAAGGTTAAAGTGATTCTTTTATAACCCGATTATAAATTCAAACTACGAAATTATATTTTTCTAGAATATTATTTTCCTAAATATGTATTATTTTTTAAAATTCGAATATAGTGTAGTTCTGTAGAAGGTTGGTACATAAGTACGTAGGTTCTACTACTATGCAACAAGGACAATATGTGCTAGTTCACCTGGCAGAGGATGGATTATATGTATATAGGAAACTAAAATATTTATATTGCATATAGAAAGACTTTTATCAAAGTTTGCGCTAATTATGCAAATGTTTATTTTCGTAATAACATCAAACAAAATTAATCTATATTACATAGTAGAGGTGTTGGGAATATATAATTAATATTTGCATAGTTACATAATAGCATATGCTATTTTTCTCATAGGTCTTCCGGGCTGATGGAGTTGCAGGTGTTTACAGATTAGATGATGAAACCCTTGGTATTTCAGTACTAGATGTTTGTTCTTTTGTTTTTGTTTTGTTTTCCAGAAGGATGTTCCAAATGTTGGACTTGTAAAGTTAATTAGAAGCAAGGGATATTTGATTTACACTATTTTCCTTGAAAAGAAAGAGATAGCAGGTCGCCGAAACGTTGGTATAAAGAAAGATCAAAGTGTTGACTCATTATAATATTTATCAATCGCTTCAAAAAATGTATTTTTCTAGATATTATTTTATATTTATTTATATCCATATTTATAGAGATTTTTTAAAACCATATTTTAGATTCATTTTAGCAGAAAACAGAAATATATAATCAAAAATTCTGTTTATCATAAAAAATAAATTTCAAAATTAAAATATTTTACGATTTATTATATATATAATTTGCTTGATAATAATAATAATGTTCCCAAGAAAAAAAATCAGAAAAAACATCCGAATATAGAATATATATATATATATAGGGAAAAAAACAGACGATTATTTAAATTTCAATAAATCTTATCAAATCTTCTCTTCCACAAGAAAAAAAAACCTAAATCAATCAAAAAACACCCTCAACATTATCATAAATCATAAAAACCAGCGAAAAGAACATATTTTTCCAAGTGCTTTGTTCGAAAAGGGAAAACTGCATTTCCAGATAAGCAGACGAAAAACAAGGGAGATGCCAAAACAGATTTTCTGGTTGTTTTTTCAAGGAATCCTCCACCAGATGGCAGCAGGCTCTCTAATGGATTTGTGAAAAGGGACGTGATGCTTATTCAATGGGATTCTCAAATCGACTCCAGGATTTTTTACCTATCAGACGACGACGTACTGCGCTAAATGGCGGCAATTTACCACCATTTATTTATTTATCCCGAGCTGGAATAGAGAAATATCTATTTATATGCAAATCTATGGGACTGGAAACCCGAGTGACTTAATGCGAAAACGTTGAAAGAAAATATTTATCCAGCACACGTCGAAAGGTTCTAATTGATTTTACTCTATATTAGCCATATATATATATAACTTGAAGGTAAATGTGTTCTCGGATAAATAAATGCAGAAGTAATTTTCTGACTTCATTTCTGGATCAGATATCTATACTGCCTAGCGCGATAACCTGCAGAGTTTTCCTGTTATCATATTCAAAACTTTTCCGCGGGGGATTTTCTAATTTTCCAAACTTGACGAGGTGAAAATTTTTCTGACCTAAATAAGATTCGTTTAGATAAATATGGCAATATCATCTGATTTTTATACTTACTTCCCGAAGTGTCAATGGCTGACTGTTGCTCTCCTAAATAGAATTCATTGCGATGACTGTCAATAGATGACTCACAGCACTTTCTTCTTTACTTTAGCGATAAAATACTAATTCTTTCCCAATATTATTCTCATTTCGGAAGAATCTCTTTTAGATTTATGGCAGTATTTTCATATCTTGATCTATGCAGATTGAAACATGCAACTTTTATGCATTTATATTCTATATATTCTATATATAGACTATTTCCCATATATATATATATATAACGTAAAACGACGCTATATAGCGAGCCCCAATGGGACGGAACATTTGAGTTACTATATTATAAATAGTTTTTTTCTAAATATCGATTCGTTATAAGAAAGAGTCCGGTATATCCCTGGTTTATTCTTTAATATAATCTTTAGATAGGCTGGGCGTAAATAAGACATTAGGCTTAAATTTTTCCCTTTTTTATTCGATTGATCAAATGTCTTCGTGTAAATTCATCCCAAATTATTTTTATTTATTCAATAAATTTCATTGATATTTTTATGCAACAATTCATATGAAAATATGTCTTTAATTTGATGTAGTCAGAAACGATCTTTTCATTCTTTTTTCAAATCGAAACGGCGAGACAAAATAAAATATAAATATCAGCGTAAAATATAGCATGTAATTGTGAATTATATTTTATACTATGTACACAAATGATCCTGTTTCCCTTGAGTATGCGGAACGAAGGCAATATGCAAATTATCCTGTTATCGAAAAATTTCCAATTACAGAAACTCTGACACAATAAAATTGTTGTTTTGATTAAATATGAACGACTGCTTGTCTGAAAATATCAAAATAAAAAAAGTTCGTATAAATAAAATAAAAAGGGAATCGTTTATATATTACAAATAGAATATCCAATAAGGATTGCAATATATATTTGCATAAAGATACATATTTCTTATATACACAGACGGCCATTTAAAAGGAAGCGGCGGCCAATGAATGCTCCAGCAAGCCAATAAAGGCTGGGCATCATTAATTCCATCTCCGACTGATAGATGGCACGAGTGTCTGCAATTAGGCCTAATCCAGCCTTTATTTGTTCAGTGTAATAAAAGATTGGGGGGAAATGGTAAGAATAAAAATTCAATTTAATCCCAAACTTTATTGAGTCATGGATATTGATGACCTTTTTGTGAAGAAATTGATTCTTAAAGTTTTTTTATTTTTATTTCCTGTCGGGTAGTTTTTTTCAATAACGATAGGTGTTAGAATGTGTGTTTGTTATCTTACGGAATAAATATTTGTATGTTAGATTTTTACATTTATAAAATCTCGATAAACCTGACGTTATTTTCATAACTTTATCAGAACCACTTGGAGAAAATAT